AATTGGAGGATATGTAAAATGGTGGACACGACAACTGGTAGATAGACAAATAACAAGACGGATAAACAGGTTGACAGGAAAATTGGTAGACATGTGAAACGGGTTGATAGGTAAATAGGTTAACAGGTAAATTGGTAGATTTATTAACAAGTTGATAGGTGATTTCGTAGACAAATTGTTGAATACGTAAATTATTGAACAGATAGTAGTAACGTTAAACTAAACTTTGTTCAACTTTTTAATTTAAACTAAATCACGGCAAAGCGTGAACGGGTACAGCTAGTGTTAAATAAATCAATAGTAAAATCTTTAAATAAAGCAGCATATGCGACTGGGCTAATTAAATAGAAAAAAAATTCTATATAGAAAAAAAATCTATATAGAAAAAAGCGGGTCTTAATTATAGTAAACATCCTATAGTATAAAAACCTCAATAGAACTGGCCTGCCTCGTTCTAGGTTGTATTCATTTTGGTTAAGATATCTCGTCCTATTCTAGACGTATAGGCTCTTTTTACTCTGATATATACGAGTATTTATATATTTATGTGTATATATATATATATATATATATATATATATATATATATATATGTGTGTGTGTGTGTGTGTGTGTGTGTGTGTGGATGAATCGAGATACATAAACATGACCCAGATACTTTGAAACTACTACCTACGCCAATGGGCTTGCGCAGTAATGGCCGCGCCTAGATCCGTGCTACAGGGCTAAACGCGCAGCATCCCTTCAGCTCGTAGAAGATAACATCTTCAAAATATTGCTAATTCAACTTATAAACAAATAAAATTCAGGTAATAATAACATAAAATGGGTGTAATTTAGTGTTTGTGAATACAATAAGGCAGTGGTATCCAAGTGCATGTGTCTTGTGGCGGTGGAATAATGAAACGATAAGGTAAATTATAAATGATATCTTACATAATTTTAGGACTTGTGTTTCTAATAGTTTTTCTAAGTTATCAAATTTATTTACGTTTAAAACTAGTGTATTAATATTTTAATTACCGAATACAACAATACGTTTAAATTTTAGCAAAGACTATTAAATTTTGATAAATAAAAAATATGATGAGGACGTCAGGGAGTGATAGTACTATTAGCGCTGTGGTAGTTTTCAAATAAATATTTGTTAACATTATTTTGTTCATTACATGATTTTCGTTAAAATGTATAGTTTAGGAGATATTTGCTAAAAAATGAAGAAAAACGCCAAAAATATATGAAATTTTAGTGGGCAGTAACTTGAAAAGTATTAGTTTTTTTGCGAAACATATTTTCCGATAAATTGCAGCTTTGACTGTAATATATGATATACAACCACATATTAAATTGGATTAAAAGATAGCAATCATCTTTTAATACCCAACAACGAATAGCCACCCACATATTTTTGTAATGAAAAGACGCCCCAGCATCATATATCTATATTATATTTTAACCTATAATGAAATTTTTACTGAGACTTTTCAAGATAAATGACTTATAAATCAGAATATTTTGTATTCGAAAATTCATCTTATTTTTGTACCTACTAAGTGCCGAGAATGAATTCATTTTTGTTGGAACACTAATATAGTGTTTTGGTACTATAGTAATATGACCGCCTGAAACGAATAAATTCAGAAATTATAATCATAATTTCAATGTTGCTGCAGACTTAGTAGACGTCTCAGAGACGCTTTGCAGAATCATGCCTGATTCAAATGTACAAATATAGTATAAACCAAAGCAATAGCATTATCGAAAAAAGGGAACTGTAAAAGAACTAATCAAAACCATAATATTGGAAATAGGACACAATGGAGATATTATAATGTGGATATTCGAGTCGGGAGTTTGCAGTAATGCCAATGTGAATAAGAATGAGAGTGATCAAGTTATGAAAGTTGTGATCACGTGGATAAGAATGCACGATTGCAATTACAAAAAGTTGTGTGCAATAAAGATTTAAAGGCAGAGCAGTGGATGTAATTAGACCAGTGAATGCCTATCAATCTGCTGCTAAATCGGTAAATACAGCTTATTCTACAAAGGCAGTGGAATATAACGGGTGGTCCATCTAGTGGTCCTACTGATCTAGTGATCTTACGGTTTAGATATTTCTGTAAAGAAAACATATAAAATATTATACATCGTTAGAAAGGTCTCAAAATTCTTAGTTTTTTTTTCATATATCGCAACTTCGAATTCTGCACGGTGTAGCCGGCCTACAGGCAAGTTGCTATCGATAAATTCCAAATTTTAAATGGGCCACCCTAGAGTAGTTAGCAAAAAGGTAATTCATTTTCAAATGGTGACGATGGTATTAAACATGATAAGGTAGGTGATGATGGAAAAAGTGGAAGCTGCTGAGCTGGAACATGGTAGAAAATGCAATGGATGCATGTGCGTTGAAGGCGAGTGCATTAGAATTGAAAGGCGATATAACTGCTACGGAAAAAGTTGCAATCAAAGCATTTGCAGCTGAGTTGATTGCAATTGAGTGTGTATTGAAGGAGGATTCTTCGGAGACAGATGCGTCAGACAGATGCATCAGAGGCAGATGCATCGAATAAGAATACATGTAAGAAGATGCACTGGGAAAAGGCGCATTGGAGATAAGTGTATTTAAGTGCGTAGCTTAGTTAAAATGCTAAACATAAACCTGAGTGCGCCAGGATGGAGACAGTGTTGCAGTGGCAACAGAACAAAAAAATTAATAACAAACAGAGAAAATTTGGAGTCACGATATTCAGATTATAAGGGCGAGAAAGAATCATGGATACCGTGCGAGAAGAGAATAGAAAGTGAAGGAACATGGTGACGATGGGAACACTAGAACAAAATAGCATGAATATGGAGCATGAATAGCAAAGATGAAAAAAGTATGATGACTACATTCTTGAGGAATAAAGCAGGATAGCCGATTATTAAACCTTTTCGATCGAATTAGCACTTACGGGACAGCACCGATTTCAAAACAATCTACTGTACCGGCTGTAAACTTGATTTCATTGTGTATGTTATGCAATTTGTTTGATAAAAATTTCATTGAAGTCTTGGTCATTGAAGGACACACACTTATAATATTAATTTATTTTTGATCATTTTATAAAGAATGGTGACGTTCAAAATAATTTCCAAAATGCATAGCTGTTTGATTTTGACATGTTTTACAATAAAATGTTGTTCGCCGACTTCCTCCTGGTGCTTTTCTGTCCGAACAGACAATACAATACCTTTTTCTTTCTCTCGCATTTAGAATATGCCACTGATTAGTCAGTATATTTGTTCTTTTTTTTGCTGCCATAATGGTTTATTTATTCTATTATATTGTCTAATAATTCATTTGTAAAATATAAAGTAAAATAATCTATTGGATGTCTTATATTTCTTGGTATTTGTAGTCGGGGTGTTTGTTGATGTATGTCAAACTCGATTACTGAAGGAGAATCGGCACATTCACTAATGTCTTTCCGCTCTTTATTTAATTTGTCGAACTTCTTCTTCTTTTTGTTGGTTGGATAATATCAACATCACATTCATCACTATCTTCGGTGCAAATAGTAATTTCGTAAAAAATGTCTGTATGAATGTCTATTTGAAACTTATCTTCACTACTGCTTACTACATATTCACTACTGCTTACTATTCACAAAATTTACCACTCGTTTCGCCATATTTAAAGGCGCTCGGTCGTTTTAAATATTAAAAAAAGACTATATAGCAAAGAAAAAGGATAAAAATACTACTAAAATAACTTAAAATTATTTTCAAAATGCAACACTGTTGATCACTGCTATATGTAATTTATTCAACTTTTCGATGCAAACTGAGTCATGGTTTATAAAATAGCCTGTGCCTCACAAAGTATGTTTGTCCACTCAGGTGGACAGCCGTCCCCAAAGAGTTAAATATGACAGCGCTGATGTACTAAATAGATAATAACAAAAGAGCAATGAATATCATATCAGTCATATATAAGGTCCAAGAGTATTATTGAGAGTTCCTGTAGCTTATTATAGCGAATAAAGGTATAAGAGATCAATTGTAAAGTATCAATATGTGTCAAAATAGACTTAACCTTTTTTTCCAAAATGTCACTTTTAACTTAATTTTGATATTTGAAAATAGATTTGAATGAAACAAAATATTATTTGAAAATAATTTAATTTAAAGGCAGGAACTGAAATTGATATATTACATGTAGTTTTCTATTTTTAGAAACAACTTTCTAAATGGACATACTGAAGTCCTACGACGAAGAGTTTAGATATAATAATTAATTAAAGTTTGGATTAATCGCCTGCTCTTTTAAAAATCGCCCGTAGGCTCGGGTTCATTTTTCATTTTTGGGCAATATTTGGCCCATTTGTCAAAAATAAGTAACATGTTGGAAAAAATTGTAGAAAATTTAATAATTCAATTTACAGCGACTAGACATACTTCTAAATCAGTAATATTTTATATATTGATTTCTTACTGATTAAGTGTTTTATTTACATATGTCAGGAAGTTCACTTACACATAGTTAATTTTTCGACTGTTGAATCTATTTTTTTTTCTAGATTTCCTAATTTTTCTTAATTTTAGATGCAGTTAAATAAATTGTACTGTGGCAAAATATATAAATAAGATTATTATAAATTAATTTTATTGTTGATATAAAGGGGTTGGGTCATTAGTTGCATAATTAAAAGTTACATATGATTTACTGATCTTCTACGCAACTAAAACGTTCTTAACGCATCCTTAATAAACCCAAGTTTCATCGATTAAGTTCTCAATACAGCAAACCATCAACAACTTCAGTATCATTATTAACTATAGTATGGATCACCCAATTTCAATTATCTCTTTGTTTAATTGTGTTTCTAATCCTCTTAGGAATAGAATATCACAAGAAGCATATCTTATGCTAGAATAATACGTGGATCTGCACTTCTAAAGAGAATATCCGAATTTGGATCAAATTCTGAGCACTGAACCGGTGATAAGACAACATGGCTGTGGCTTACGATGAGCTCTTGGCGCCATATAAATTCGCTAGCGACAATGTATCTGGGGTAAGTGATATAAAAAGATTATTTTTAAGTAAAAATTTTATTTATGTGAAAATTAATTTATGTGAAATTATATGATCAATATGTTATATATTTATAACAATTTAAAAACCACAGATTGTGAAAAAAAGAACGAAAGGGTCAGGTCCACATACATGCAGTAAAGTAGAACTATATATACAATTTACGGTAATTCATTAAAGGATATATGTAATGAACTCAGAAAAAAAACAAATAAGTACTTGCATAACAATGTAAGTTTTACACATATTGCAAAATTAAAAACAAAATTATCAGTTTCAACAAATATAATTTTGAATCATATCCCAATAAAAGTATTCTAATAAAAAATCTGCAATTAGAAGGCAACAAATACCAATACCATTATTTCATATCGATATATAGAATTTATACGTTCTATGCAATACAGACAATATGACATGGTGTTTTGTTTTTTACTTACTTTTATTGCCTACGAGCGATATAGTTTTTAAATTTAGTTAAACTGTAATAGCAAAAAAGGAACTACAATTGATTATAAAAAACATTTTGTCCTTATGGTCAAGGCAAACTCAATTACAAATTCCTAAAAGACAATTCACAAAAAAATCGCCTGATACCTCTTTGAGACATCAGCACATACCCCATGAGCCTAAAGAGAACAAGTCATGATCCTGAATACCGGGATTCCGGACGATTTTTGTCCAGTACTGATACAGTAATACTGGTATTTCCGGATTACCAGTATTTTGTTAAAAATCATTGATAATATTGGTCTCGGTGGTGGATGACCTCTTTCTTATGCGTACGTTGCAGATTGTTAGAAATCGTTCATATAGAATTTTTTTACAATCAAATTATTGGAAATCAGAAAATACCATATTTTTCTATAAGTCTCTGTGATGTGAACACATCACTGTGATGTGTTGATATCTAATTATGATTTGATATTTCCTTATGACAATTGTGCCGACAAGTAGAATGAAAAAAAGCTTTTTCGGCTTGTTATATTTGAACTAAAATTCGGTCTCGCTTGAAGATGAAACAATTGATTGTTTATATTTTCTAAGATCATATTTTCATAAACAAAGTATAGTTTAATAATCGAATTTGTTTTATTTACTTAAATATATATTTCCATACGACCCTATTGCATGTAAAATATAACATAGATTTAATATCAATGTTTACTTGATTTTTTTTATATCTATCTACTCCGATTCTCTATATAATAAAATAACTAATATGTACTCATTTTAGAACAATAATAATGCTATTTGACGATATAACAAATGCGATAACTAAAAATATGACAAGTGAATTTCTAATTGATAATACCGTAATCCCGGTATTGCAAATTTCAAATATCGATTTCCGGTATTCAGATTTTAGTACGGTATTGGAGCCCTTACTGTGACAAAGATACTCAACATGTGCGAGGATTGTGATTATGCTCTCTTCACGTTATACCAGTAGCAGAACTGACTCAATTTTACTAGTCAATTATTGACTTTTGCGACTAAGGCGACTAGTCAATTATTAACTAATAATAAGGCAACTTATGCCATTTTGTTTATATATTCCAAGTTGTCTAAATGCATAAGATGGCACGATCATGAAATCATTATGCTAAATGAATCGAATTATGAGAAAGAAATTGCCTTTTTTAATTATGACAGAAGAAAATCTCAATAACACGTTTTATACTTTTTAGAGTGGAGCAATTCATCATTTATAACGAAAAATCAATGAGACTAGTAATAAAGTCGAAAACAATATCAATTTGTACAGAAAATATTACGTGCTGTGAATTTACTGCAAAAGACGAAGTTTTATCAAATGTCTTTGTTGGAAGTTTTGAGTAAATATGTTACTCAAAACTCATATGCTGCAAGTTTCATACAAATATCCAAAAACTAATCAAGTTTCCGTTGTGTAATTCAGCGCACTTTAATTGTAGCCAGACACAACTTTGGAAAGATATTGCTCGTGCGAGTTTATCAAAGTGTGATATCTTTCATATGCTGCCCATGTAATTGCTCTTACTGTTTTATAAAAAAAATGTTAAATGCATAAAGTCAATATTCGATATCTTAAATACACACTATGATGTTCTGCTGATTTTAAAAAGAGAGAAAATTAGTATTGATAAACTAATCTTTTTTTTACCTGTTTGTTCTAGAGATGTTGTTTCACTTTGAAGTCATAACGGTTCCCGTCGATCAGTGATTATAGCAGGCAAACATTTTATATAATTTTGAAGCATTTATTTTAGATATTTATTTTCAAATTCGATTTTTAAACATCTGAATGATACTTGTAAACGAATTAGTAATAAAATGATCGACGGTCTTTCCACTATCAATTTTAATCTGATATAACATTTTCTTAAATTATTTTACCATTAGTAAAACAACAGCTAAATCGATTGATTGCTGTTGAATAAAAACAAATTCAAAATTTCCTAAACTTTTTAAAAACTTTCGATTCAATGAAAAATATTTTTCGAGGAAACACACGCGAACTAGTCATTTAGTAATAATTTTATCAAGCAAAAACGTCAGAAGTTTCAGTATAATTTTTAATATCGTTATTTCTAAGACAATAAATTTGAATGTGCAAATTGCGCAAAATAAATAAAATGTCAATGAAATTATTGAATAAAATGTTTGCTTAGAGAAATGAATGAAATAAATCAAAACCACTCTTGGCCGGTTCTGGGTTCGATACCCGCCGTGGCAAGGTTGATATCAATCAGTTGTTATATCAAATTTTGACTTGAGATTATTATATATCTAAAGTTTCATATCAAGTGAAAATTTCAGTTGGTGGCATTGAGTCAAATAACATTAACGAAAAAACACAACTATATAGTGGTGCCTTCAAACCGTCATCTGTTGAAATAATAAAACAATTTCTAAATGTCATCATCAAATTTTATGCTCACAAAAAATAATAGACACTGAGTTTTGCACAAAATATACATAATAATATGTATATGTATTAGAGATGGGTAACTCACTCCGGAGTTATCACTCCGATACAACTCCTCGGTCCTCGGAGTGAATCCGAGTAGAGTTGTCTCACCGGATTTGTCATATCTGACTTCCCTAAACTGGTACTAAAACTGTTACTGCGTTTTTGCTTTGGAAATGAAGCTGTCGCTTTCTCGTCTCACAGGCGGTTTTATGACCTTTTGGTATAAGTTTTTTTTCCAGAAAATACAAAAATATTACTTTAAAGATACAGAACAATGAAGTATTATTATTTGGTGAAAATATTTTATGATAAATCTTTTGCTTTTATTACAAAGTTTACTACATTATTTTTATATAAAATTAATCCAAAAAATCAATTATTTTCTCATCAAACGAAAATAATTAAATTGAATTTGATTCTCAAGTTCTGCGTTTTTACTTTGGTCAACACTGTTCAAATTACGAGTCATTGAATCGATCATGTGGTCGACCGAAAAATTTTACAACTCGTCATTTATTTGTGAATTTTTTAGAAAAATTATTTTATTGATATTTTTTTATTTTATTTTATTCATAAATTTTCATTTCAAAAAATTAAATGGGATTTGACAAATCCTTAGATGCATAAACAACGCACTATAGAATACATTTGTGTCGAGTATTTCGGTTTCAAAGTTGTCGGAGTCGTGGAGTTGTTAAGCGGATATAACTCTTCCCTAAAGCGGAGTCAAATCCGAGTCGATCCGGCTTCGGATATGATAAGCCCATCTCTAATATGTATACTAGTTTGTACGTCCATTTTTTCCAAGAAAACCAAAATGAGCAACATCAACATTTCCGAATGCAAATGAATCCATTTTTTCGATTTCAATGACCAAAAAATTAATATTTTAAAAATAAGAAAATATTGCAAATATTTTACTAAATATATACTAGTATGAGTTTCCTTTTTATTCGAGAAAACCAAATTGAGCAGCATCAACATTTACGAATGCAAATAGTATTCATTTTTTCGATTTTAATGACCAAAAAATTGATTTTTTAAAAATGAGAAAATATTGCAAATTTCGAAAATTCTTTGTACGAATAATTTAAACATTTCTTAATAATAATGAAAAGTCAATTACCGGCATTTAAGTTGAATCTCTTTTTTATTACAGACAAGTGACGCTTTGTACCCAAATCCAGAACTTCTGTTCGATGAGAGCGGATCGTCATCCTTCATAGATGACGCTTCGATGTCTTCATCGGGAGTCGATGATGACGCTATTTTGGAGAGTGACGCGGATTTGAGAGGACGTGACGCTATAGATAACATCATGTACATCTATTATGGGTCTAACTACGGTGCCAAACAGGGATTTGGTATCGAACTAGTCATTATCGGTAGGTAGACGAACTCCAAATATTTGCACAAGATGCTGATTTTCATTTGAAAGAATTCGAAAATTTATCACGAAGTGCTTGGAATTAAAAATAATGAACGAATATGAATACTTTTTTATTTGCAATAATTTCTCACATATTATCTTATCTACAAATTGCAGATTACATTTGTAAGTTTGTAGAAATCGAATATAATAAAGTGCACGTATTCACATCTTAAGAGTTGGTATTTTAGTATCATTTAGTAAAAAAAGTATATAATGTTTGAAATTTCAGGTTGCGTTTGTGCTCTGGCTGCTCAATCCATAACTGTGATACTGCTATGTTTGAGGAATAGAAGACTCAAGAAAATGAACGCACTATTTCCAGTTGTTTTGAATTTAACGAGCTGTATATGCGTTACTAATCTAATATTCATCATAGGAATACAAGTCAGTATATAATTCCAAAATGCTTTTGTTCTGTTTTTTTAGGATATCTTCTTGATATTTCACATCAAAGTTCACTTCTTGCAAAACATGAAACATCACCATATAGTGTATATATATAAAAGTATAAAGTATACTTTAGCAACTCCTTAATCCCTTCCAGTTAATTGAGCTTCAGGACTGTTCAAGTAAAAAACAATAATTAAGTAATTAACATTGTTAAGAAAAATATATTTATTCAAATTCAAATTATACCTCAACGGTAACGGGTAAATAACGTCTGGATAATAGGCAATACAGTTGTGGGTCTTCTAAAAAAAACTTGTAGAAAGTATGCCAGAGTTTTTGTGAAATAGAAGATATATTGTGAGATAAAAGAGATAATAGTGCGCCAATTAGTCAAAATCGGTCCTTTCTGGCGATTACGAATCCAATAGTGGCCAATGCAATAATACATAGTTTAAATTTTAAATCTGTTCGTGTTATGCCGGAAAAAGTGCAATCCAAGACAAACTTAGACATTCTATCACATGCAGCTATAGCTTTTTCTTTGAAATATTCATAAATGTAAACATAAAATAATAAATATTAATTAAATATTGAGTATAGAACTTCAACTAGTTATTATATAAAAATCGAGTCTTATAATAAATAATAAGAATCAATTAGTAACTCCGGAAAGCCGAGCGCGATTTAACCAAAAAGCTGAAGACAAAAATGGCAAGCAACTTTCGATAAATGAGAGTTCTTACTCCATGTGAATCAAACCACGACACCACTACTTCATCATCTTCATCATGATTATACCATATCTTTATTATGATTTTTAGTTTATATTTGTGCCCTTATACCAATGTGTCTGTTTCCAATATTATGTTTATAAGTATATTTGATTCAGTTCCAACTGCTAAAACTAAATCCAAGTATCTGTATTCAACTTATGACTTGTTTGTTCTATAAATACATCCAAATATGAATAAAAAAAAATCCATTTCAGTCAACTCGTCCGCCTTTGCGTTGCGAAATGACTGCCCTGGTTTTGCACTACGCCCATTTAGTTGTGGCAGCATGGATATTTGTCTACTGCCACGCAATTTCAGACCATGTCACTGGGAACGATTCTGCCTTCAATATGAGATACAACTGTTTGATGGCTTACGGAGCTCCTGCAGTATTCGTTCTGGTAAGAATTAGAAGATAACTAGTTGTAAGTGGCATTTTAGTCAAGTTTTATGAACTTTCCATTACTCGGGACTTAAACAAATTTATCAACTGTTTATTTCGAAACTAAGGTTGCGCGTGCACTAAAAACTAGTCAATTCCACGAACTTCTCTTACCTATAATGCCTGTAAGTAATCGCATTATGTTTAATTACTTATGACCGTAAGAATGTATTTATTATATAAGTGTGGTCGTCAACAGTAATAGCATCAATCAAACGTTTGTCGTAGTCCTATAATGTTTTAGTACGTCAGGTAGTTAGTTCAACATAAAAACCATCGTCTCACAAAGTTTCATCAAAATCATCAAAAAAAAATTCAACGATTTGTTACGAAAAATTACGATTCCCAACTGATATTTTGAAGATGGTTTTTAAGTTTTCAAAATTAAAGATTATTGGGAAAACGTTGATTTTTTTTTATTCTAAAGAAAAGGCTCGGCCGATCGTTTTGCAGAACTAAGGACCGCTAGTCTTCATCGAGTTTTATCAAATAGTTAGAGAAAACGGCAACAAAACTTCAAAATTTCATACACACACTCAGAGGGCCGGTCCTACCTTGAATGCGATGCATGCGAAAAATGCGGGCGCACGCCTTAGGGGGCGCCAAAATGAAATTCGGATATGAAATTTATAATATAGTTTTTTCCAATATCATTCAAGAAATAAATAATTTCTACTAATCTTTGGACATTGTTGAAATACGTCAAAAAATTCAACAATCGGACACACGATGGGAAAGTAAAGATGAAAACATACAATTCGGCCCTTACGATATCAATTCGAAGTTTGCAATGAAGTTTTAGATATTTTAAATAATAAAAATTTAAATTAAAATAATCCAACTTAAAATAAAAATTCTTTAAAATTTTGGAGTGAAAATAATAATTTAAAAATAGTTTGGTAGTGCGACAGCGAAAGAAGGCACAACAATTTGAATTTGAGCAACCAGCGAATCGTCTCGAACTTCTGAATAAATTTAAAAACAATTAAATAGTTTCTTATGCGATTTTATAGATAATAACATGTTAGATGATAACATTTTTTATGTTTTAAATCCAGAATTATTAAAAAGTATTTTGAAAAATTAACGTAATTGTTAGAAGTGTTAAAATAATAAAGGAGGGGGCGCTAGAAAAAAGAATGGCATGCGGGCGCTGAAGACCATGATCCGGCCCTGCACACACACACGTTCATACTTTTTCTGAACTTAAATTCGTCGATTTTGTTTCGAGAAAACTTAAAATTTTCGAGAATACAATCGGTGCATTGAAATATAATGAGGACCAAGCTTCGTGCCCATAACTTTTTGCGCTTGTATTGATAAATGACATCCGATATTTTAAAAATTAAACCATCTTTTAGGAAAAAAAATAAAAAATGATAATAATTATATTACGTATGATGTATGTGTGCGAAAAAAACTTTGCGAACTAAACATAGCCAAATTTTGATAAAGTTGCACACAAAAAATTATTGTATTAGGTGCGAAAAAAACCTACAATTTTTGACAAAGCAAACCCTATATAACACTATTTAATATAATGGGTATTTATTAACCAGTCGTAAGAGTGCTTTAAAATTGAATATTTACTTTTTCACTTGCATATATCGCAATAACATAATTTTGTTAAAATATAACAAAGTAACTTCAGAATTCAGAGAGAGGAAAAAAAACTGTTTTCCGAGATTTCCTTGCAAATCCTTGTTCAAACGCCAAAATTGAGTAGAAGAAAGGTTTGGAATGAAATTACAAATATATTTCCTATTCTATAATTTGCCAAGTTTATTTTTGAATTCAATAAAAATTTTAACTAGATTAATAATAAATAAGTACTCTTATATTATACAAAGATATCCTCAATAATATTAAACAAATGCAATTGTGATGTGTTTCTTCGAGTAATGAGTTTATTATATCTAACATCAAGTAAACATTTCTATAATAAAGATAAATACATTATAAATACGTTCATACAAATAAATTTTTATATGTAAATAATTTTTTATAGTTCGCATATGCTGTGACACCAGACAGTTACGAATCAAAGAACTACTGTTGGATGTCCGCTCAGAAAGGAATGTTTTTGAACTACATGCTTCCTGTAACTTCGTTGATTATAGTAAACACTGTTTTTGCAACATTTGCTTTAAAATCTGTGAACCAAAAAATTCAAAATGCCTTAACTGTCAGTATAGAAAGCATTCTGGATCCTGCCAATGTACCAAAGATTATAACTTCAGAACTGAATTTGGATGAGGAGTTATTATTCGAAGCCTCTGAATGGAGAAGTGATTTCAAAAATAAAAATTTAATGAAAAGTAATTTAAATAAACCACTGGATATCCTAGATAGCGATCAATATCAAAAAACCTTAGACAGTTTAGAGAAAACCAAAACTACAGATCAGAAAAACCTGAACATATACGTAGACATAGAAAATGCTAAATATTCTGCCGATAACCCAAACATTTTTTATGAAATTGGTACAAGTAAAGATTATGAATACCAAACAGTTGTAGAACATCCTAAAGATACGGAAAAGGTTCCGTACTATGACTGCTGTGACCACCACCACCGTTCAAATAATGATAGACTTGGTGATTTAGCAAGTGTTTCCTTAGGCGATTTTTCGCTGCAAAGTAGCGATTTTCCAGAACTTAGTGACTTTAGAAAATGTCTAAGATTTGCAATATTTTTGCAACCTGCTTATGATGTTTGCTGGTTTCTGGGTGTGGTAGCTGTAGAGAATGCTACCAGCTCCAATGTTATGCCTGTGGTCTTCATTGTATGCTTCAATATTTTGGTAAGTTAAATATGTTTACTATTCTTCAATCTGAAGATTATACCAAAGTCTTTCAGATTTTACTAAATTATAGCATTATAGCGTCCCAAATATTCAAAGCAAGTGTGACCAAAAATGTATATCATAATGTGTGAAATTATAGACAAACGGCATTATCATTGTGTTACTAACTCAAACAAATATACTAAATAACTCTAATTTTAATCTTCACATAATAATTTTCCACACATATACTAAATCTCATGTAACTCTATATAAATCCCACACACCTGGGCTTTGTATCAAACAGTAGTGATATAAGATTTTCACTTGAGGTTGTAGATTTAAAATATAATAAAATAGATTTCCGGGGGCATTGCTGCAAATAAAACTCATCAATATCACATCAGAAATGTAATAAAAATTGAGAATTCTATGCCAGCAGCTCAGAAAGCACATATTGATAAAATTCTATTAAAAAACAAGTTTTGTAAATTATATAATTTTTGATGAATTACAATTATACATTTATATATAAATTTATAGTATGTTATACAAGATATTTACTGCAAAAGCAACCATCTCTTTTTCAGAAAATTCTTTCAAGGGGGTATTCTAGTGCAAAAATTCAAAAACCCAAAGTTTTTTTTATATTTTCAAAGCTCGACTATTCAAGAATATGTGTACGAAAGAATTTTTTTTAAACTTAAATTATTTTGGTAGATACATGACCATAATAATTCTTTTCTGTTTCCTTTCTTTTGCAAAACTTTAAATGTGCTTTGCTCAAAACTGCCATTTTCAATGGAATGTCAACGATTTCTCGAATTTTACTGGGTCAATTCATTTGAAATTTTCACAAGGTCTTCTTTATAGACTTCTCCCTGGCATAACTAGCCTCATCTCCAAATTTCAATTATTACTATATTAAAACAATTCTAGCAATTCAAAAAATGGTGAGAAAATGGTATTTTTTTCAAACAATAGCCATTTTGTCTTAATTTAAATTTAGGACTTGAATTTTTTTTAACTGAATCCTAGTATATGCCATTGCGACATCATTATAGATTAATAATCCTGTTTTTTTTTCATTTTAAATTACTAGGAGGGCTGCTATCGTGGACACGATCACATGCCAATTGCTTGTAACACTCCACTTCAAATGCTAATTTTTAAAATTAACATTTATTTACATTTTTTCTGTACTCTTGTAACATTGATAAATAAATTATAAAAAAATAATAATAAACATTTTTTTTTGCCTCTACACTAGAATGTCTCATTTTTTCGTATAATATAAAGACAGCCTTAGAATATAAATGAGGAAAATAAAATATTTTGGTATCTTTAAAATGTCTTCTGATAACAGCATATTTACAATCGTTAAAAATCCTTAAAGTCTTATGTATTTGTTCTTCCTACTTGAAATGCCTGATTAATTAACAAAACTAATAGTTAATTATTATTTTACAGAGCTGGGTAATATTCGCGCGTTCTGCATCGCTATGCCCCTTAATCAACCGCAATTCATCTACTGAATCAGGCAACTCGGAAACATCTTCTACTCATAATTACCACAATTGTTATGATACAATAAATTCCAGAGGTGGTTCATCCTCCAAGCAGAGAAGCTGTTCCATGTCAGATGATATCCCATTATTACTCAATGCTTCTAGTCCGTACAGTTCAGCATACCGAGCAGGAAATGCAGACAATGAATTGGCAACCACAGAATTGGCTTCTTGTTCTAGATCCATGACTGGTGCAGACGTCATATGCACCATAACAAATTAGAAAGTAATGTGATATTAACTTTGGTTTAGTGAGAATCTGCTAATGTGTTGTGATGATTTGATAAATATATCATCAATGTGTTGTTGGTGGAATGAAAATGAGCAATTAGCGTGTGATAAAAATGTGATCAGATCCAGGTGAACTTCTAAAGCTTGATGGATTATATACTACTTTTATTATATTCATTTAAATTTCAATATAATTAGTAGATTTATTCATTGTTAATTAAAATTTAAAGAATTTTCAACACATTATTATTTGTTAAATTGTTAAAATATATTAATATAATGAAATTAGTCAACAATTGTGAATCCAACAATAAGATAATTCTCTAGCTCGCATGAAATCATCAAATCCTGTTACGGCAAAATGTAATATCCAAAGTCATAATTTAATCATTCCAATTTTTCTACTTGTCCATATTTCATTTGTTTATATTCAAATTATTAAGCAAAGAAAAATATATTAGTTAGTATTCTTTTCATTATTCTTTGTCATACTAAAGTCAACTGAATTCAATTTTATTATTATTATGAATATCACGTTTAATTAATCAAAGATTGAAATTAAAACTATAGAGCCACATATAAAAACACAAACTATTGAAACTAAATAAAATTAAATAAGCGTAAAAATATTTTTGATTATTATAATATTCCTCCAGGTGATTCTAATCATACTCCTATACTGTTTGGATTATAAATATGTTTCTAATATATTTTAAATAAATGAATCAGACGTCACAAATTATAAAACATGTAGAGTTACAAATTATAAAACATGTAGAGTTTCATGGTCTCAGCATATTAATAACTATTTCACAAAGACACAATTCAATGAATTGTTGAATGCTCAATAATGTTTGGAAAAATAATTCTAAAAGTGTATTATAACCAGCATTTCAACCTTGTCGATAACCACAATAAATCAATGGATTATTAGAAAGTCTTATTTTCTGAAAAATAAAAACTTTTCTATATCATGTAATTAACAATAGTGCAAAACATGCACTGCATATATATATATATATATATATATATATATATATATATATATATATATATATATATATATATATATTCACATAATGATGTATGGTTGTGAAGAATGTGTGTACAAATGCATATAACTTTTAAGATGATCCGATATTACTTTGTTCGGATAGCAAATAGCATAATATTGAATATTTATGAACACTCAGTAATCTCTAGTAATTCACAATGTGATATCACTTAACTTAATAGAAGTTCTCTATAAGTTCTATAATAATCCAAAAGATAATTCGAAGGTCGAAAGAAGATTTGTGTAAACTTCTTTCATATAGAAATTTAGCACATGAATAATAATTTATAATATTTTCATTAACAATTATCAAATGAAAATATGAATTTGAAACTTTCAAAGTTTATAAATATATACATGTACATAGCACAAAATAGTAGATATAAATAATTTAATTCTATTTACATATTTTATCAGTGTTATAATTTCTTGTTGAAAAATTATTAAATAAAATTACACAAAAATATTATGTAAATGTAACTTAAAATAGATATACTCACACTTCAAAATATCCAGATTTACTTTTTTTAACACATTGGTTCATTTTCAGAATCCATAATATTCATTGGTGATAACCATTTAACTCAACTTTTATTATAATTTCCTCGATATGTGTATAACATTTCTACCTGAAAAGACACATTCTTTATTCAAGTATCACTAAAACATAATGTGATAATTCAAAATAACGTAACGTAATTAAACATTTTAGAGTTTTAAAACGTCACATAACTAAGTAATTGAATAAACAATTTATATTCATTCATTTTCTTCATATGAGAATAAAAAAGAAAGTACTAAGCACAATAATAAATATAAAATATCTACGATGTAAATAAAATGAAATAAGGAAATAGTAAAATCTGTGCTTTTTGATGATAACTATTTAACACAACCATTTAAATGCAATAATAGAAATAATGCATCTACAACAACAACAACAAATAATTCTTCAATATAGAAGAAGTAGTAGTAAACAGTAGGCCCATGAAAATATCAATTACAGAGGAAACGTGTAATTCTTGAAATATATTTATATGAATTTTCTGGATAATAGCAAAATACTGTTTATAGTAAAGTGTATGTGTGATATTTTTACCTATAACCAAAAGTGATTTTGGCAGCAAAGCAATATTTTGTTCAGCAAGAGCCTCAATGCAAATAAATCATAGTTTTAAACCAAATCATTACATAAATTATTAGAAATTGAATTAAAAATTCATAGGATTTGAAAATTGGGACTACTCAAGCAAATCTAATGTGGCATTGATACAGCGGACACAATCTACGTAGAATGGACAAAATCTACTTAGGATGGTGATAGGTGCACCCTGGTATGTGCGCAACAAAACTCTGCATTAGATAGGGTGTTATATATTAAAAACTTTATAAAAGCAAGCTCTACTAATAATCATCACAAATTAGAAAGTCACCCAAATTAACTGATTGCTCTGCTGCTCCATACATAATAAAGACGACTGAAAAAATTATGGCAAATTAACTAGATCCAGTACAACTCTATCTAGTAGAAAATACCTACTGAGGTAACTACTTTTGATAATTATATTTAATTAATGTCAATCAAAATAACTTATTGAATGTACCTAATGTTCTGATTGTCATTAATAAAAGAAATAATAAGAAAAAACAATATCATAAGATTTAAGTCATAGTTTTAAACCAAATTATTGGACATTTACATAAATTAATAGAAATCGAATCACAATACCATAAGATTAAGAAATTGGGGCTGCTCTAGCAAATCTAATGTGGCACTGTTTCAGCAAACAATAAAAAACTACTTAGCGGACAAATCAAAACTACTCAAGATGTAGGTGCACCCTGGTACGTGAGCAATAAAACTTTGCATGGTGATCTGAAGTAGGTTTATATTGAAGACTTTTTGAAAATAAGATAACCAACAACAACCAACAAAAACAATAACCATCATCACAAATTAAAAAGTCATCCTAGTTCACTGATTGCTCTGGTAAACCATACATAATAAAGACGACTGAAAAAATTATGGCCAATTAACTATAGATCCAGTGAAAAGCTAGTAAATACCTACTAGGGTAACTACCATCGATATATTTAATTATTGTCAATCAAAATAACTCATAGAATGTACCTAATGTTCTAATTGTTATTTATAAAAAAAATAATAAAAAAAACAATCTCATAAGAATTACTTTCAATTTCTATTAATCGCTATGATTGTAAAACAAACTCGACGCCATTACAGTTGGTTACAATAATAAATGTTTTGAGACATTTCAAAAGAAAATAATTTTTCTATAACTGACAAAAGTGTATAGGAATATTAAAATTAATATAAATGTGATATTGGCCTTTGTAACTAAAGAAATTCTCATATTTATGTACAAAGTAAATACTTTAAAGATGAGATATAAGGCATGCCTGCGCTTTGCAACCATTTTACAACAATTACTATTACACACATTAATAGGAACTTCAACAATGCAGAATATATTGACTGACTATATTGCTATATCTTTCAAATTCGTAAGAAAGGCAATAAAAAATAATGACTGTACTTACGGATTATTTTGTGCACAGATATAACAATTTCTGAACATTTTCTACACCAAACTAATGAAATTTATTTATGACGCAACAATAAATTCATTTCATAACGAAATCGTCAACTGTTACTACGCAAATGTCAGACAAAAAGTACGCTGTGAAGTTGCAATGACAGAAGCAGTGTCATTGTCATTGAACAGATGGCGACACTGGTAAATGTCAAAATGACAGTTGTCTGCGTGACATTCCTAACAAGTTTTTTTAATACTCGGCTTTCTCCATTAATTTGTGATGTATCTAGTTTAAATGTTTTATATCAAATATAGTGTTTTATAAAACTGCTACAGATCTGCTAAAACTTTATTACAAAGCCGAAATGCTCAGTGTCAATGAGCAAGATGATAAAAAGGTTAGTGCATTGTTACAAATTTTATAGGTTATGTTTTGTTTATTGTTAGAATCTTGTTGGATTGCTATTTATTTTTTTACGATTACAAAACTACGCTAATTCTATATGATACGTTATGTATTCAAAATTCACTGGATTTTCTAAACCACTGCTATTTATTTTTATTATGTGGATTATTTTTGTGACGTCGGCAAAAAATATACCAATCCGTTTTCCTTTTGTTTTCATAGTTGTTTTGAATTGTGATATGTAATTTTTTTTATTATTTATTAGATAATATTAATATAACAAATTTTTAATGCATTTATAGAAACTTTACGGATGTCTTCTATTTGCTTTAATCAATTTATATTATTCTATTAATTAATTACAACATAATTATTGGAACTTGTATTGAATTGTTAAGATTTCTATTCTATTCATAAGTCGTACATGGAATCTTAGACAATTATTTACAGATTATTGACAATGCTGTTTGTATTGACATTGGTTTGATTAGGAATGTCTATTCATTAATACATTTATACTTAACGATTCAAATAAACCTGCAAGGCCACATTTTTAGAGGTCGTTTGTGCATTCATCCGAGATAACTGTATTTGTCTTATATTACTTATTCTTTTGATATTATATAACACATATTCTTTTCATAAAAATATAAATTTTACTGAAGTTTATATATTATTGACTTGTTTTTTTAGTCTCTCAAAGTCAGTATTCATTACATAAATTCACTAATTAGAAAAAAAACTAAATATAACGTATAAAAACCAAACAACGATTTTTATCTACTAATTGCTGCATTTGTAAAAAAATACCTATGTTCGGTTTTGTTCCAATTGTTTCTGGAATGTAGCAAAAGAATCAAACTTACATAGTGAAATGAATTTACTGATCTACAATATAATTAGAAATGATTGGGTATATAAAGAATAGTATTCGCTAAATACATATTATTAATACGTATAAAGCAAAATATCCATGATCAAATATGAGATGATGTTCAAGATGAATAATTGATTAAAAGTTTGATAAGGCAATGAACATTCGACATATTTTCATAATTTACATCTATAATCTCAAGTGTAATCTCTAGATATCATTACTGTCCTATATCAAGCTGACCAAGGTGGGTATGGAACCTGGAACCACCTCATTTTAACCACAGAGTAGCAATGGCTCTTTGTACTAAATAACGTAATAGTCTATTCATTTAAGCTCAAATTAGGTAAGAATCTCGGAATTCGAGATACCCAGCTTTAAGTCTGTTAATACTTGTATATTGACACTCTAAAGTTGTTTTAAAACCTACATATGGTAGGGTGTTAATACCATATGTAGGTTTTGAGACAACTTTTAGGGTGTCAATATACAAGTATTTACAGGCTTACAGCTGGGTAGCTCGAATTCCGAGTCGAACTTACTTCAATGACTGAACTATAATAAATAGTTGTTTTAAAAGTGCATGTTATTGTTGATATTATTTTTTTTTTTCTTGAATATGGAACATTTGTTTAATTGTAAACTTTAAATAGCTATTACGGTTTGTGACTACATGCCTTTAAACGTTATCAATAATGTTTATTTGATATTGTTTTTTGTTTGAGATTCAAATAGAAATATATGCCCCAATTTTTTTCGTTTATTCATATATTTGCGCTGTTTCAGCATTTTTGAGAAATTATGAATGACCATGAACACACGATTAATGCAATGGTATTATTATATAGCATATATTTGATCATATTTTTTTTAAGTTTTAAATGTTTTTTCAAAAAAGATGTCAATTTTATCAAATATGACAAGATTATAGAAAGCTATAAGGAATTTGATGTAATGCACGCATTATGGCGAAGTTAATGAATGAACAGCAATTTGATAGCAATGACCTTAAAAAATGAAAAGAATTCTTCTTATCAATTATATATCGATGTTATTAAAATTAAAGTGTCGAAGGTTACTTGAATAAAGTTCAGGGAAAAATAGTTTTTGTGTAAAGTAATACATTCATCTTTATTTTTATGTATTATATGCGAAACTGTAAATCTTTTCAGATTATTAAGACATTGAAAACTTACACATAATCGTTTTACATGCATGTACATAAAAACTTTCTAATTACTAAACTTTGTATGTATTTTAATTTTTTTGTGGAAAGAAATAATTACTCAAGCATATAAGTAATGTATATCAATACAACCTACATATAAATATTTTTGGTATCGAAACAGTGTTAGTGAACTGAAGGGGTTTGAGATATCTTAATTGCAATTAACAATTACATCTTTTCAGATCTTATAGTCGAAAAGAATATGAAGATAAAAAGTTCAGATATAGATAAAGCATTTAGCATACTGAGGATTAAAATATATTTAATAGGACATTTGAATAAAATTTCACTAGATTGTTGAAACAAATAATTTGTTTCTTTAATCAGTTTCAGTCACAAAGGGTATGGGTGTTTCCATGCAGAATAGGCCCCACCCTTAAATGATTTTGATGCCATTTTATAGGAATTTTTGAGAAAATCCGTTATATCAAATTTCAAATCCGTAGCTCATCATTTGGCCGTGATATCATTGAAAATACATGAAAGTGACCCCTTCATTCAAAGTCGTTTCTTGTCGTAACTGTAAAAGATATCGACAAACAAATAACGGGATTTTATTTGCATCTGAATGTACTATATTATTAATAACAAATATTGTCTAATAATTATTTTGTAGTGCATGAAAAAGTGAAAATAATTTTTTGTTTTAAATTTTCCGGTAGTGCAGTTGTTTGGATTAATTTTTAATTAACATCATTAGAGAGGCTATTCAATTTTTTTTACTGCCCAAAATTTTGTTTTATTTCATGTGGTAGAACACATTCAAAAGTAGAAAAAACCTGAGCAAGTACACGTTCGCGCTCATATAAGACCCGTGTAAGTCGTCTCTCATTTGCAACGACTAGCAAGAATGATAGGAATACCAGAATGATATGAAATTTTCTGTGTGAATTCTTAATTATATGTTCATTGAGAAAATAAAATAAAAAAATCGATTTGTTGAAAATTTTAACTCTATATAACCCCTTAAACTTATTGGCAAATGGATAATTAAATATTTATTTGAATTCTTTGGAATATATATGGCAATGTATATTAATACAATGTATTTTAATTAATTAATTTTATACATGCAATAATTGATTAAGGCAATGTTGATTAGTTTAATTATTTATATAATTAATTAATATGTAATTGATTAAGTTTTAATTATTTGTTTTCAATGAGTAATCAAATATGATAGAAATAACTTAAAAATACATGTTGTTATTTTTGCAAAATATCTCAAAATGTTTTAAAAGTTCAAGATCAGTAATTTTCCAGTGATATTCATAAACCGTAAGAGTTATTCAGTTTAATAATAAATGTAATACTGATATATTTTATATCGGTTTTGATTCTCTTATCGTTCTGAAATGAGAACATTATAAAAATGACCCTGTTTTATCAGAAGGTCGCATTGTTTCTAAACGTTGACAACCCGATAAGCATTTGATGATAGAATTATTATTATATATTATATACTCAAGTGTTATAATTATCCAGCTTTGTAATTACAAGGTCCCGGATTTAAATCCTCGTTCTGGATTCGAACCTAAATGCATACATACATACTACATAAATTCATATTTCCATATTTTCTAAGGTTTTGCTAAAATGTTCAGAAATCTTTGAAACGATTTGAAAGATAGATAAAGATGTTTATCTTCGATTTTTGCGATTACTATTATAACTTACCATACAGGTTAAGTAACTTATCCTACAAGTTCAAAATCATAAACCAAATCGGCCGAACCGTTTCTTTGCAACTAAATGTAGAAATTATTTTTTTATTTAATTTTTATTTTTAGATTATAAAATTTTATTAATGTTTGAAAAAAATGAGCTGCGCGCTGAAGATAAACGTGTACATTATCAAATTGAAAATTGCATTGATAAGTTTTTAATAAAAACCGTAAACTTTACTTCAAGGATAAACCGTTGAGGATTTCATTATCACAATTTGAAGATGTAGACAAATTTCAATTCTTCACATAACAAAAGTCATGATGATTATTTGTACATATTGTGAAGTTTGGACAAATTGCTTTAAGACAAAATGCGCCACATACCTAGGTTACATAAAAATTAACAGCAAGCAATGATTAAAATGGGTGCTCTATTTATTACCCCTGATCCGAATAAAATGAGTTTAAATGATGATCAGTTGTTTGAATTAATCACCTAGAATTTTCTACATGGAGTACATCATATGATGTGAGTCATATCTTGTCAATTTGGCCAAAGGATCATTGAACGCATAATTGGTCGAATAAAACTACGATCTTCTGACATTAGAGTCGTAATTATTCTTAAAATATTGTATTCTGTGAAATTTTGTTTTGTTTTCAAGCTTGATAGAATACCTGAACATAAATAAGTCTTTCTTAACAAAAATACTTCTAGAAAAACGTTCATAACATGTTAATTACAAATAGGTACATATTTTTGTCTTATATTTACTTCCTTAGATAAATTGGATGTAAATATATGTGTGAGAGCATTCTTATGTTTGGATTCAATTTTTAATCCACGATAGCGGGAGCATGGATAAACCGATTTGAATGATTGAAAAAACATTCGATTTGTATTGACGGGCTGATTAGTTTTGGCAAAGGCTTGTCGAGCCGTTCCGAAGATATGGAGCAATATTGTCTGCACGGAAATCACAATGCTTTTGTCAATATTTAATATGGAAAGTTCTTCATAACATAGCCTTGCCATAATATTGTCTGTTGTGCGGGAGAATTGGTCGATTGTAATAATTATTTTAAAATATTTAAAAAACTATATATAGGTACCTATACCATATCCATACATTATGCTACTGAATCATACTGAATACTGTCAAAATGTCATGTATTTGCTGTGCATTCAAGCGTTTTACACATAAACTGCAATGTGTCACTCG